AGGCCTTCCAGAAGATGACAACTACAATTCCCTTTGTATTTTCCCTTGTAGTTTCCAATGATGGATCAAGAGATCTGGAAGTTGCCAAAGTCAGACAACTGAGGTCCCTGCTAGAGATCTAAACAGGATGTAGGAGAAAAAAACAAAAAACTAACCACACTAAATTTTATAATACTACAAAAATTCAAGGCCAAAATAAGATATCCCAAATACAATCAAATGTAAAACTAAAAATGGACAATATTAAAAGTGGTGCCTAATGCCAAGCCATAGAGTGGCTACGATCAATGTGTAACATTTAATATACCTTGTGATTTCTACTGGGTGCTGAGTGTCAGTCGCCCTTAGTTTTGCTTGTAGCTTCTCCTTTTGAAATCTTGCATCACGGATCAAATTTTCTTGAGACTGAAGTGTTGCCTTCAATTCTCTCTTCTCTTCCCGCAAAATCTGTGTCATATTCAGGAAAAAAAGGCATGCATTATTACAATTTTTCTATTTCACGAAGAAAGGATTCTAGTGAGTCTGGCAGGAAATTATATAACAAGCATAGCATTCACATGGCTATCAATATTTGATCCACCAGCAGAGTGGGGAAGAAAACATAATGTTTCAAAAACCTAGTTTCAGTTTAATGATTCTCTTCTCTTAAAACATTCCTAGCCACAGTTCCCCAATTTTAATAGATGTAAAACACACCTCTAACATCTTTTCAGATTCTTTCAGTTCTTCCTCTTTTCGCCGCTGATCGTGCAGCACACTCATATTGGTTCCAAGCAAGTCGCTGACTTGAATGGTGAGGCGCTCTATTTCCATCTCATTGGCACAGATGGTGTCATTGGCCCGCTCCAGCTTACTGCTAAGATGCTGTATTTCTGACTGGCTGGACATTTCCACAGACTCTAGTTTCTGTTTCCGATTGGCAAGCTGAGCCTAAATACCCATAAAGAACCATGAAGTAAAAGTGGAATGCTAGAAGAATAACTAAGCATAAGGAAGACTAAAACAAAA